GAAAAACTAAGTATTTGGTTTCCAGCCTGCATAAGTTATCCTTGCCATTATAGTCAAACTAGGTATCTGTCTGCAAGCCTTGCCATTCCCTTCCACCAACATGGTCAATTCACTGATATTCCGGCCACCCAGGATCCAAGGGAAGCTTTCCCCAAGGGAACGATAGAAAAGGGAGCCTTCTGGACTGGTTGCCAGCACTGCCAAAGATTCAGCAGTTCCTGCTCAGAATATATTGGGAAAGCATTGCAGAAAGAGTAGAGCCACACTTAATTTTACATATATAGAGGGCTCTGTGGGTCTGATCCAAGGAAAGAATCCCACTGATTTCAGTGGGCTTCAGACCAAGCACTATCTCAGTGTTTCTTATCAGTAATAACCTCAATCAGTATTCTGTCTGAATGCCAAAAAGTACTTAGATAACAGAGACAATTAATCTAATAACAACTTCTCTTAGATTCATGTAAATCTAGAATGATTTTGCTCCCTTTACTCCATTTTTACATTTTAGCCCATGTGTGTGTGTGTGCTTGTATGCAAACTAAAAGATCACTAGGAACCAACTTTTCTTCTTCACCTTTACTTTGAAGAGGGAGGGAGAAATTTCTACTTTCTGTTGCAGATTTTATACTACTGTATTGTTCTGTTACTTTCCTTCCTTTAATTCTGTGGGCTCGGTATTAAAAAATAGCCATCCAAAACCTAGATATAGTGCTTCCATTGAGTTTATATAAGTTAATCTTACAGAAAAAAAGAAGCAGCATTACCCTTTCTTTATTTATTAGATGAGGGAATGGATTAGGCACTAGTGAATAAAGTGATTTCCCCCCCCATTCTATACAGGATATTTTCTTTAAAATACAGGTAGTATAATAGCTTTTTATATGTTCTTTATTTCAATGGCTTGACCATTTCACTCTTTACCCTTGGTTCAAAGAGGCTGTAAACAGGCAGAGAGGTGGAATGCATGCAGTCAAATGATAATGTATTGGAAAGGTCAGTGCTGGACAGCACACTAGTATAATTCACAAGGTCCAGGAGATATTAAAACTGCTGATACCTCATTCTTGTGTCCAAGGTTTTAATGTGAACAGAAAATGACATAGCATAGACTAATACTCATGACAGTCATGGTAAAAACAATGGTGAGTGTTATAAATGTAACTCATTAGTTGGCACCATTTGGACATTGCAGTTTTATAATAATGCTCAGAGTTGCTAGAGTGCTTTCAACTTTCAGAATGCCAGCTGAACACATTATGTATTATGATTTTGGACCTTTCCCCTTGTTAAACTTTGCTTAACAACCATCTTCGGTTTCTTTGTTAATGTCAAAGAGCTTGAAGGTATGTGAGATGTGGCAGCAGGGAATAAAGAAAGGATGTTTCTATAAGTATCTGCTTTGAGGTAAGTGAGCGTTGGGGGTTTAAATAAATAGAACACATTGTATTTAAAATAGGAGGCCTAAATTATTTTGTCACAGAAGACTCTGGTAGGTAGAGAATTGTGAATCATAGAAAATTAGGGCTGGAAGGGACCTCAGAGGAGGTCATCTAATTCAACCCCCTGCTTAAAGCAGGACCGCCCCCAACTACATCATCCCAGCCAAGGCTTTGTCGAGCCAGGTCTTAAAAACCTCCAAGGATGGAGAGCCCATAACTTCTCTGGGTAACCTGTTCCAATGCTTTCCTACCCTCCTCATGAGAGTTTTTCCTGATATCTAGCTTAAACTTCCCTTGCTGCAACTTGAGACCATTGCTCCTTGTACTGCCATCTTCCTCACTAAGAACAGTTTAGCTCCATCCTCTTTGGAACTGCCCTTCAGGTTGTTGAAGGTACCTTTAAATCCCTCCTCAATCTTCTCTTCTCTAGACTAAATAAGGCCAGTTCCCTCAGCCTGTCCTCATTAAATCATAAGCCTCAGCCCCCTAACCATTTTTGTTGCCCTTTGCTGGACTCTCTCCAATTTGTCCACATTTTTTCTGTAGTGGGAGGCCCAAAACTGGACACAATACTCCAGATGTGGCCTCACCAGTGGCAAATAGAGGGGAATAAACTATAATGAAGAGATTCAAGTTCCATATGTTAGTAGTCTGCAAGCAGTGCAGTTGTTACAATAGACATTTGTGATGTATTCCCAGCTCCCTATAGAACCTTAATTATGAGTCTTTATAATAGATATATGTCATTATTATTCCCTTCCCACTTGGTGTGCAGGAAAGGTTGATACAAAGCCCACTGAGGTCAATGAAAAGAGTCCCGTTTACTTGAATGTGCTTTGCGTCAGCCCCTAAACTTACCATAGAGCTTGGACAGCTCCAAATTCTTGCCATTTGATTGTGCAGAATCCATTTTGAAGCAAGGTGCATCATCTGAAAGAACCAAAATGTTAGGTGCTGAACCTTTAAAGGCTTCTGCATATACTTAACTAGATACACGGGGAGTATTCTCAGTCAAATCAGCAAGCCTGTTTACTGCACCTAAGTTGGTGGGTGTTTCTTTCTTCAGTAAACTGAGAATACCAGAAGCTACTGCAGTGCGCCATAGTTTTGTATAAGCTTGTAGGACTGGCTAGTGTTGTAGTCTCTCCGTTCTTTCTTTCTTTCCTCCTTTCTTTCTTACACTCCTTCTCTTATCAAATAACTAGCTATAATTTGAAGGCAATGGAGTTCTTTAATTACTTTGAAAAAAAAATCATTGATATAACACAAAAATATAAGACTTTGAGAGTCCAGCTTGCTTATTCTTAAAGAACCAAATAAAGCAAGGAGGCAATTTCAACTGTCGTTTTGTAAATAGCCTTACTTGCTTTTCCCCCCTAAGTTTAGTGCTATATCTATTGTGTGCACAGTCCTCTTACAAAACAGGGTTGTGGGAAGTTGATGGAGAGTAAGCACCAGCAGCGGATCAATATAGGTGAACTAACCTTAACTCAAGAAATAAAAATGCATTGTTGAAAAGCTGTGTTGCATTATTCCTATACTATCTGAAGCACCTGTGCCTCAAAAATCATTTGGAAATATAAAAGTATTTTTTATCTACATTGTTAAACTCTAAAAACTCCCTTGTCTGTTTGCTTTCTGTTATCAACGGCTGGTTTCAGTGACTGCATGGTATTCCCTTCGTCTTTAAAACTCCAAAATGACCATTTAGATTAAATGCCTGAAGTGATCACTAGGTAAGCCAAGCTATATTGCATTTCCTTTCCAAATCCAGTAGATGGATACATCATTCAATAACAGTGTTTCAGTATATCATAACTATGAAATGTTTTGGTTCTTTTGTTCCTGAATGTTTAAAATTACTATTTTTTAAACTTGCTTTGATAACCACTCAGCGGTATCATACTTTTCACAAAACATGTAAAAGCCAAGCTATTGCCCTGAGATACAAGTTAGTCACTGATCGCGCCTAGCACTGAGTATTCACCACATCTTAGAAAAGTTCACGATGGTTCCATCAACTTCTAATGAACTTCATTTAGTTATAAACAGAGAATAGTAGAATGGTCCCCTTTCCAAAGACTTACACTTTACATAGAGAGACAACAGATACAGAGAGGAGGAAAGGGTATAACTATATTGAACAATGAGACCGGTGATAGGAAAAGATGCTATCTTAAGTTTCCAGAGTGTTTTTCTGTGTAGGGACATAGGGACGCTAAGAATGGGACTTCAATAACGAGGAGAGGTGGGGGGGGGGGTCGTCTTTAATCTATCTAAATTCTAGAATCTTTCAGAACAGTTACATATCAACTGAATGTACAACTTGAATTATGTGTTTTTTAATGGAAATTGGTACTAACAACAGAAGAAGCTTCAGATGAAAGGGAGAATCCCTACAGGTTGTTCCCAATAGGAAAAGGGGCGTAACTAATGGACTAGTTTGAAACAACAGCATTTTTATGAATTCATATTAGGTTGATTAGACACATGCTCACTGATAAAGTATTTTGTGCATATATGCAGCAAGTAATGAATTAAATAAGAGCATGCATAACCTATGATCAGTTCATATGGAGTGTTCTCCTTGATCCACATAGTATATGACAGTGGTTACCAACTAGTGGATCTCGATCCACCAGTAGATCTCGGAGCCTCTTGGAGTCGATCTGAGGCTGGGTTGGGGGGCTGAGTGCCCCCGTGCATGCCCCCCAGCCCAGCAAGTCAGTCCATGGGGGAGGGAAGGGGCAGGGGCTAGATTGAGGCCTCCACAGTGAGGGACAGTGCTGGAGAGATAAGTTGAATGGGGCCTTACCTGCTGGGCAGGTTCACCCCCAAATAATTTTTTCTCCCTCTGCCTCAATTTACCCCTCCCCCCATTTCCTCCCCATAGGCTTAGCTGCTGGGTGGGGTGGTGGTGGAAGTGCGCGGTAGATCATGGGTTGCTTTTAAATCCCAAAGGTGACCTCCTACTTTAAAAAGTTGGGTTTTTAGGTTGGGATATTAGGTTTTACAATTGTTAGGATGGAGCCTGACTACGTCTCAAGCTACAGAAATTCATGCCTTCAACTTTTTGTTCCATAACTCAATCCCTCGTGTCAGCCAAGATGGCAGCTCTTGCAACTTATTGCAACCAACTCAAATGTGAGAAAAATTAAGTATTTTGAGTTTTTGATTTTTCATAGATGAACCAGGTGGTATGGAATTGGTTTACTTTACAGTCCTGCTAGTCTGGCTGTTTCAACCTCTACCCAAAAAGTAAGAGGAACATGGGACAGAGAGTCTTAAACCAGTAAAGGAGGAGATTCCCAGTGTAGGAATCTTTTACCTTAACCTGGGGACACTTCTCCCTGTCTCTACCATGTTTAGTGCAGCTGAGATAGAAATGTATAAAGTCAAGGAGTACCTGCTCACCACAGCAGTCTCTACATAATGGGATAGTTTCTTTTGTGGAATCTGTGAGCAGAAACTAACTCCTGTAATATTTTTCCCCCTGTAGATTTACTAGAGCATCCACTATGTCGTTCATCTGTCATGGCAGGAGAAGGCCTTCTTCAGTTATAGTCTGGGACTTAACATATCTGGGAGATCATCCTTATATCTGCCTTCACTCCCTGCTCCATTCTGGTAGGAAAGAAAGGAAACAAGCTTCATGAGTTTTCTGAGTATCCATGCTCACCTATGGATATATTTGAGCAATAGTAGAATGTTCTTTTCTAAGTGGTACTAAAGATATTTTTAATTATGCCATTGGGCTAACTGTGTAAACCTGAATTTTTTGTTAGTCATCAAAACACAATTCCATGAAAAATAACTTTATTTGTCACAGAATGGATCTTTGCCCAAGTGAACGTCTTTTAAACATGGTGTTGTGTGAAAGTTGAACAATGGCTTGGATTATTTTTCAGCCATCTAACAACTTTTTGTTAATTGTGGAATTTTTGTTTCCGGAAAACACTGCACGTTTAAAACTACTCAACATTTTATTTAGAGACTATGTTTTTAGAAAGTGAAAGCAGCAGTTGCTGGATCTGATGGGTTGCAGGTTATCTCAGACATCTTAGCAAATAGAAGCAGGAAGCACAAGCAGTGACCCGCTGACTAGCAGAAGAAAGCAAATAGGCACCTCCTGTGCGTTCAGACAGGTATCGCCCAGAAGTTGTAGGAGTGCTGCTTTCATTTGGAAGTTAGCATAAAAGATCCTGTAAAAATCATAACTTTTTTTCTTCCAATAGGATGTCTAGTCTTCTCCTGATGTCTAGTCTGAATCTACCCAAGCTGGCAGAGGCATCAGGAGGCGCTACTTCACAGTCAGGGCGGCTAGGATCTGGAACCAACTTCCAAGTGAAGTGGTGCTGGCTCCTACCCGGGGGTCTTTAAGAGGAGGCTGGATGAACACCTCGCTGGGATCGTTTGACCCCAGTGCTCTTTCTTGCCGATGGCAGGGGGTCGGACTTGATGATCTGCTCAGGTCCCTTCCGGCCCTACCAACTATGAAACTATGGATGCTCACCGCATTTACAGTCTCTGCAACAGTGTGCTCCTATTGTCAAAGGCTGTTTTAATGAAATGAGGGCTAGATGCATCAAAAGCATCACATGCCTAAAAATTAGATACCTGATCCACAGGTAATCTGGAACACTTACGTTAGAGGACTAGGTTCACTATACTATGCACAGGGTGCACAGGCAGGCATCCAAAACAGCTACCGTGTTAAACAGGGAGCTGCTTAAAGTCACTATGAGGTTGCCTAGAGCTAGTTAATAGCAGGTATATGTCTGCAATCCCACCCCTTTCTATAGTTTAGGTGATATCCAACTGGGGTACATAGCCCAGAACTTCTGTTGAAGATAAGTGGGGAGCACTACTTTCTTTTAAACCAGAAAGAAGTAGTCTCATTTCCTTGGCAAATGCTGCGATCACTGAGTAGTTATATGAAAGAGGGCTGTTGCTGCCACCACTTCCACTGTTTTAAACGATCTGCATTTTTGGGAGGAGCCCATTCCACTTACGTGCACTAGGCATACTGTGAGGATGCCTCCTGGACTGAAATGGGGGACTACACCAGAGGACTGCCTAGTTTCTAGATCTGGTTACACTTAAACACAAGCTGGTAGTGGGGGCTGCCCAACCTTTTCATGGATGGGACACTTCTGGGCATTTGGAGATGCAGAACTACAGGTGCATGGGTGTCTTTAAGGCCAAAAAGTAAAGGGCCTGCAGCGTTTAGCTTCTTAAAGGGTTGGGTAGCACCAGAATGGAACTTTAATCACTTTGAGCTTGGGTGCCTAAACCATACACATCTGACTTCAGGTGTCTAAATCCTTATTGCATCTAGCCCTTATTTTGGGCTGCAGGGTAAAGGCTCTATCAGCTTAGCTCTATAGCAAACAAGGTTTAAGTATCCTAGAAACACAGGACCCTCAAAACCAAATATCTGTCAGAATGATTTGCTCACACAGTGAACTTAAAAATGTGGAAGTACCTTCAGTAGTATAAAACATTACAAAAATGCATGTTACCTATAGTTGGATCAGCATTAGCCCTGGGGGGGGGAAAGCATTCAAAATCAAAATTAATCATCATCTAGGTTACCCCAATGAGCTCATACTCTGCATTATTTATTATGAGGATCAGCTATCATTCCTTTCAATGTCGCAGCTTCAGACATTTGTTGTCTCCAGTAAGTCCTCAATGGAGTAGTTTTCCATTAGTGATAAAGTGGGCACCATCAAATGTGCAGCCAATAAAAGATGGTTTTCTCTCTTAAAACACCATGGTGATAATCCAGGATTTTTCCAGCAACCTAAATAAGTAATAAAAAGATCAAGAAGGGGAGCAGTTGACAGCCTAATAATTCTCTTAATATGATTCTGTCCAGAAACAAAAAATGGATATGTTAGCTGGGAAGATTATGGACCATAATGGGAGTCCTATATGTTAGCAAATATTTGTATAGCTTTCTCTCAAAATAGCAAATATGGATGACTAATGATGTTGCATGTATCATGCTCACTAACGCTCAACTGCTGTCATATTTTTTTCCATCTTTTAGTTCCATTTTGGAAATTTCTTTGTAGTTATGTTTTCTCATGGGATTTTCCACTGCAGTCTGCAAGCCTAATGACTTATGTCTGAATAAAGGACTCTATTATGGCAATTAACGGTTGCTGGGTAGCCATGGAAATAATCACTTTTTCTTGACCTGCGAAAGTAACTTATAAAGGCATTATTCTACCCTTATGCATGAATTGCATGTCTCGGTTTTTTGCATAATTTACATGCTTCTGATATAAATGATACAGTGCAGATATTCTTCTCAGGGAAAATATAGTACATAAATCAATTAAATTGATTCCTATACCCGGGTAAAATGCATCCGTTGGATGTACTCATTGACCAAATGGATACTGTTCTCACTCACCTAACGACAGAAATTGGCCTATATACTGACTGGAAGCGGAGCAAGAATTGAGCAGAGGAAAAAGATGGAATCTTCCCAAAGAGCAAAAGGCTGATGCCCTGCATCATTACAATAAACTGTAAAAATGTTCATAATTTAAAGCTGCCCCAGGTAATCGTTAAATTATTCAGTCCTCAATTACATTCAGTTTCTCCTTAACATAGAACTATCTCCCCAGATTTTTATATATGTCTCGTGTCAGGGTGGTCATTTACTTTATTTTGATTCATCAAGTCTCATTGTCTCTGTACAAATGGTCACCTCAGTTTTTTCTACTATGTGATAAGTCATGACCAAACAGGGCAATCAGAAGTAATGTATAGATTTTTTTAAGCATGATTCCCATCTTCAGCATGAACATTAAAGATACATGAAGCAATGTCAAATGTGAGACTAAAATGAAAAACAAATAAAGCTAATTTACAACCAGCATTAATTCAGCTCCCTTTCTACTCTTAGAATGCATCACACATGACATTAATGTGAAGCAATAAACTCTGGTGCCTATCATGCCGGAGTTTATTGCTCCCAGGTGCCACGTCTTCACGTGCACCCGGGACCGCAGCACATTGAGCTGGGGAGTCTCAGCGTGCCAGCCCAGGGCTGCTCCGACCCAGCTCAATGTGCTGCAGAGGGGCTGGCTGGGGGACGAGGGTGCTCCAGTGCAGGGCTAGCCAGTAGGCAGCCCAATGCTGAAGCATCCTTGTGCCCCAGCCAGCCGGGTCAGTGTCTACACGTGCGGTGCTGCACACTAAAGAAAGCCACCACAGGATAGTACTTGTATTTACAAGTAGTAACCGGCGGTGGAGTTAATTAGTCTCCTGCAGCCTAATAGGGCCACATGTGTAGACATCGAGACTTTACTGAAGAGCTAATTAAGCAGCTCTGCAGTAAATGTCTTGTAGAGATGCGCCCTTAGAATATCTATCACTAGACCATGATTTCTGCTATAACTGTCCATGATATCCCTCTATGACCTTGATAACTGTCTTTTAAATTCTTCAATGCTACAGTTTAATCCTGTGACTACTGTGAAGCTGGTCAGAGAAGTCACATGCCAGTTCCCTGACTGGATGAATTGGCAAGTGATTCTGCCTGCATTGTTCATGCAGATATAAAATTTGGTTACTGTTAATATTTCTGGTTAACTAAAATTCACTTGTAATAAAGAAATCAGCAAAACTTGATTATTTCATTTTTGGGGGAAAGCCAACATAAAAAAGGGCTCAAATAAGGGCAAAATTATTCTTTTAAAAATGTAAATTAAAACTTGCAGATTTTTTTTGTTCATTCATTATTTACCCAGACCCATCAAAACCCTAAAAGATTGATATAATTAAATAGCAGGAGATGTAGGTATTGTATAATCAAGTCTGTTGAATACATAAGAGCAACTCCCTTTAACTTCAGTCAATAAGAGTTTTTGGGAGTAGACAATCATTTGTTCACTGACCTTAAAATAAAGGGCTTTATTCAGTCCAAACTAAATCTTGCAGTGTTAGCTAGCTAGCACTTAATAACCAGGCTCCAGCTATTTTAATGAGTGCTCTGCTCTCTGGATCGAAGTGGATGCTTTATTAAATGTCCATATTTTCATTTTTGTTCAACTATATATTGAAGAGGGTATTAATAAGTCCCATCAGTAACTTCGTCTTACTTCAGGAGTATATCTTTGTGTTCACATGATGAATGTCTTAGTAACTCAGACATTCTTTGAGATAGAAACTCTAGCATATAGAGCCTTAACTTTGAAATATATCTTTCTCTGACTATATTCTTCTCTTTTATGTAGCTGTTTCCTACATGCAGAGGACTTTCTGAATCACAGTTTTTCCTTCTTCATGTGGAAAAAAGGACACAGAAATTTACCATTTGCAAAATATCACCTGTTAGTAGCATCACGGTGGATATTTACACCACAAACAGTTGTGCCCTACAACCTTAAAACTATTTTGGAGTTTTGCAAACTCCTTAGGCTTCTGCTGAACTAACTTGTTGCTTTCCACACCATTTATTTCTGACTTAATTTTTCCATTGGGATTGTTTAATTTACCATTCTATGAACAGGTTTCCATGATGATGGCCAGCCTGTTAAATGTTGTAATTATAACAATGGCATTCAACTGACAGCGTTGGTCCTTGTCCATTTTCCAATAAGTGGAAG